TTCCCAGCGATCGAGTTGTCTTCTTCTCAATAACTTCCCGGGAATCGCATGTTCGCTTGTATTGGCAATCCAGCGGGCATATTCAGTCAAGCAGCTTTTTCTGCCGCACTTCTGACTATGTCTTACCACATCAATCAGAATACTCAAGGAGACTAGTAAGAAGACGTACTGACCTGCTTTCTATCAAGAGCCGGCTTCTCCTGGTGGAAATCCTCTCTCTTGAAGAGACGATGCTTCCGATCAGTCACCTCTTGCAGGATTTTTCTCAAACACTGACGGCGATATTGCAGGCTGTCAATTCTCTGCTTTATGAGTTCGAAGGTGTCAGTGGCCTCATTGGTCATTGCAATGGTCTGGTTTGCATTTCTCGCCTCGTCTGAGGTGTCGGTCGACTGATTGACAAACGAGCGTCTTTGGCCTGCGTTTAAGGCTACAGAGTTATCTTTTGTTGAAGCACAAATAGCAAGGAAGTCAGTGAACTTCCTTTAAGAAAACGAAGTTACTCTAGGCTACACACAGACCGTCATGTGCCTAGTCGCTCTGCGCGCTACGAAAAGAACAAAATGCACAAGAACAGTGGATTAGAGAAAACTGCTGAGCTTTAGACCCCTCTAGCCAACAGGGAAGCGGGTTCCAGGCCCTAAACCAGAAACATAAATAAACCAAACCTAACGTATATGTGCAGTGAACTGTTACCTGATGGGAGACTTGTTTGACACATAATAGGTCAACCGTAGTTTTCGAGAAGGCCCACCGTGTGTGTAGAAACTGTGACTTTGACTGGATTATAGCTGGAGTAGACTTTCGCTGCATGCACCTCATTCTCTGTTCCAATCCCCCACATGATTAACTTATCTCGTCTCCAGTAGAGGCTACTCGGAGTTATAATAAGTGAGAAGTAATGGTCTGACAGCCATGAGGTGTTAATACAAGCGAACATGCGAGTCCCAGGAAGAAGTCAGGCGAAAAAAACATACTGTCCCAGCGATCGAGTCGTCTTCAACCATAAGGTTATTTTAAGCAGAAACTGCAACGGCTATAGGTCAATAACATAGTTAAGTAAGACCTAGACCTCCGTAATATGTATACGGCCGCACCAAATTTTATTTATCATTCTTGGCAAATACAGGCAACAGAGATAAATGCCTTAATTCTGAGAGCCCACGCTCACTGAAAGTAGAGATGGCGGTCAGAGGTCACGCGGCCAACATCAAACACTGTCTCATCGACGCTACCGCGGGGCACATAACGCTTCAAGCGAAT